GGGTGGATGGAAGCTATGGAATTCATAGCGGACACCGCTTCAGTGAAGGAGGAAGAAGAGGAGGGTCCAGGAGGGCTTCCACTTGATAGTGCCTTTTGTTTTCGGAGACAGGGTCTCCTGAGCCCAGGCGAGCCTCACACTTGCTATCAGAGGATGACCTTGAACTTCTGATCCTCCAGCCTCCACCACCCAAGTGCCAGCAATATAAAAATGGGACACCACACCTGGCTGAATTCTTCATTGGAAAAACAAAAACAAAAACAAAAACACTTCAAGTTTCTACGTAATTTGTATGAGGACAGTGTCATCCCCAACCTTGTGTCCTAATCACCTGTGGCAAACTCACAACGCCCCCCCCCGCCCCGCCCCCACGGAGAGGAAGGCTGGAGCTTCACATGCCCTCTCAACCATGCAAGTCAATGTTCTAGTTAAAGTTGTCTCGCTGCACAGCTACAAACTCCAAGACCAAGGAGTCAGAAGAGCCTGAGAAACAGTCTTTCCAAGGGAAGAGCACACCAACTGGTTATCCAGTGCCCAGAGGTCAGCCCTGAACTCACACATACGAGTAATGGGGTACAGACTGAGCAGAATATACTTAGGAACATATGTGTGTATACATATCCACATACACATATAGCAACAATGAAAAGGTCATTAATTTGAGGGAAAGCAGGGAGGGGGATACGGGAGGGCTTGAAGGGAGGAAAGGGAGAGGAAAAATGATATAATCTCGTAATAAACCTCAAAATCAAAAATAAATAAGAAAATAATCTTTTTTTTTTTTTTTTTTTTTTTTTGGTTTTTCGAGACAGGGTTTCTCTGTGTAGCTTTGCACCTTTCCTGGAACTCGCTTTGGAGACCAGGCTGGCCTCAAACTCACAGAGATCCGCCTGGCTCTGCCTCCCGAGTGCTGGGATTAAAGGCGTGCGCCACCACCGCCCGGCAAAGAAAATAATCTTTAAAAAAAAAAAAAGCCTGCCACAGGCCATCAATCTGGGACCTGACTGGGCATGGATTTCAAAAGGGCCCTTTCCTCCAGAGACTATGGGATGGCAGGAGGAGTGAAGAGCTGACAAACTGGACAAGAAATACTCCCTGTCAGTGTCACCACTAAAGGGCTCAGAGGAGCTGAGCCAGCCTCACTGGCAAGTCACTGGCAAGTGACTGGCAGCAGCTGCAGGGTCAAAGGTTATCAAAGCGCACCAAGGGGGGTTCCCTTCCTCGCACTCATCTTTTCTTGAAAGCCAGATCTGAAAAAAGAAAACTTTAATAAGCAAAAAAAAAAAAAAAAAAAGTCTTTGTGGCATATGTAAATAAAAACCGAAAGCACCGGAATAGAGCGTCCTTTTTAAGGTGCCTTAAAGAAGAACTAGAAAGGAACTCTGAACTCATTCTTGCATCATCCCTCAGGCTGTGAGAAAGAGCCTCCTGGGTCAGCTGGTAGGGCATGGGACCTATGCTCTCAGGACGGAGGAGATGTAACAAGCACTCAATACAGACCAGAATTTAGTACATGTCTCGTGATGACTTCATTTCTCTCCTTCCTCCCACACATCCCTAACTTTAACTCCCGCCAGCAAACCCAAACACAGGCAAACCAAAGCCTGGCCAAAGTGTGCTCCGAAAGCAGGACATCTCTGTGGCGAGTGTATTCTAAGTTGCTTTTACATACGAAGGAAGAGTGAGAGAAAAAACTTAGATTGACAACCGTGTACCATTGATTCCCGCAGGCGCTGTGTGCGGCTGTGTTCTGTGCCTCTTAGTGACATGCATGCACACAAGTGTATCTGTCCTTGTCCTCAGGGTCCCTGACCAAGGATGGGTCTGAGTTCATGCCCATTTCACACACTTTGAACTCCACCTTTAGAGCTAGGCACAAAGCAAGCATTCACCAGGAGTGGGAGTCCCTTAAGGCCTTTAAAGTCTTCTATTTTGGGGCTGAAGAGATGGCTCAGTGGTTAAGAGCACTGACTGCTCTTCCAGAAGACCTGGGTGATTCCCAGCACCGACATGGCAGCTTACAACTGTCTGTAACTTCATTTCTAGGGGACCTGACATCCTCACACAGACATATATGCAAGGAAAACACCAATGCATGAAAAACAAAAATAAACTTAAAAAAAGACTTCTATTTTTAGTACCTCATTTTGCATAGGTAATTTTTTTGTAACTATAAACTGTCAAATAAAATCAGTAGAGAGATTCTGTTGAGTATTTTTCAACTAAGCACAGTGGGAAAACTGTCTTTTGTGTTTAAATGATATGTCAACCCAAACCACAGAACTTTTTGTTTTTGTTTTTCAGGACAGTTTCTCTGTGCAGCCCTGGCTGTCCTGGAACTCACTCTGTAGACCAGGCTGGCCTTGAACTCAGAGATTCACCTGCCTCTCTGCCTCCAAAATGCTGGGATTGAAGGTGTGCACCACCACTGCCAGACTAAAACCATAGAACTTAACATGGATAAATAGAAACACATTAGCGGGACTGGAGAGATGGCTGAGTGGTTAAGAACACTAGCTGCTATGCCGAGCGGTGATGGCGCACACCTTTAATCCCAGCACTCAGGAGGCAGAGCCAGGTGGATCTCTGTGAGATCCAGGACAGGCACCAAAACTACACAGAGAAATCCTGTCTAGAAACAAAACAAAACAAACAAAACAAAACAAAACAAAAAAACACTCGCTGCTCTTCCAGAGGACCCTGGTTCAATTCCTGGTGGCTCACAACTGTCTATAACTTCTGTTCCAGAGGTTCCAATGCCTCCGAAGGCATGCGGTGTACAAGCGTTCACGCAGGTAAACCACCATGCACATAAACACACTGGTGTATGACACAGCAGGAACCAGACCAGCCCCCACTCCAAGTCACTTATTCACTTAAACAGCCAAGCCAACTGTGGTTAACAGCAAACACAGCGACCGATGACTTCAAGGCGGATGGCACTGGAGGAATGTAAATTGGGAAAGGAGCATCACATCTGACCCAGCACTATTCATAATTGCCCAAGGCCACAAACAATCCAGGTGTTCATCAACACTGACAGTTTGAGGTATGTTCACCCCAAAACAAATCAACTACAATCTCAAACAATATAGATGAAGCTTTAAAAATCATAGATGGCTCAATGGATAAGAGCCCTTGGCTGCTATGACAGAGGACCCAGGTTCAATTCCCAGCCCCCACAAGACAGCTCACAACCATTTACCTTCAGTCTTAGGGATCTGACACCCTCTTCTGGCCTCCCTGGGCACCAGGCACACATACAGTACATAGACAAACATGCCACTGAATAAAAATACACAAATAAAAATTTAAACACTATAGTACATGAATTTACACAATTATTTATATGTCCGTGTCTGTACATATAGTACTGTGTGTGTATATATATGATGTACATGTATGTGTGTATATGATGTATACATATATGTGGAGATATATATACATATATATCTATATATGTATATATATCTCCAACCAAAAGACAGATCTAAGCTTGGTGTTGTGGCACACGCCTATAATCCCAGCACTTGGGAGACAGAGACAGGCGGATCTCTGTGAGTTCGAGGCCAGCCTGGTCTACAGAGGGAGTTTTCCAGGATAGCTAGGACTACCTAGAGAAACCCTGTCTCAAACAAACAAACAGACGGACAGACAGACAAACAAGACGACCTACAAGAAGGTTGCAGCAAGGTGAAAGAGGAATGAACAGCTGAGCTGTTCACAGGTTTGTACCGAGGAGGTTTAAAGCCATAGAAAAAGGAGATTATTTCTATTAAAGCTGGTATAGTAATTGGCTGTCCTGAAAAAAGTAGTGGAGGGGGGGAGAGTAGATGGAGTCTGCTTCTTGGCCTATGAGATGAGTTACACTTACATTTTCTCTAAAATAACTCATCAAGTTACCTTTTCAGTGCATTCCTTTATCTTTGTAAGTCACATTTAAAAGGTTAAGTAAATACATCATTGACTACCAGACATTCTCCACTCCGGCTAGCCCAGGGAAAGAACACGTCCTCTCTGAATGTCACTGTTACTCAGCGTCTAAGGTCAGAGCCCTCATCTGCCCTCTACCTCAGTACTCAGCCCAGTGCCTCTGGAACAGCAAAACTACTCAATAAAATGTTTGCTATGTCAACCCATGCTCTGCTGACATGCTGACATGAATTGTGTAACATGAACCCTTTTCCTGCCGCTGCCGATTTGACTGTGACCCCCCGATAACGTTTTCTTCTTTATTGTGTCGCCCCGGTGAAGCTATCATAAATAATGAAGCTACCACCTTAAATGCCAGCTCTGTAAGTTTATACCCAGGCCGCCTCGGTTGCTTTAGCAACTCTCCCAGCCTTCCGCTCCCTCTTGTGTCTTCTCTCAGCAAAGACAATCGGTCGTGCATGTTTGGGTTTTAACAGGAAAGTTTCCATTTTGCACCTGAGAGTAAAGCCAGGCATCATAAAGATTCCATTACTTTCACGATGTTTGTGAAGGGCTCATTTGCCTGTCGCTGGGAGAAGACTAAGGGGCTATCAGAGCTGACATCATTTCACAATCAATTGTACTTAAAAAGAATGCTCCCTGTTCTAGCAATCAAATCCCTATAAACAGGACCAGTCAACTTTAAAATAATTTTGTTAACAAATCACTTATGCAAATACACATCTATGAAATGCTGGGAAGAGTCTACAAGATACAAACCAACAGAAAGACACCCAGCTGTTCTTTTGAGGATGATTACCGGAAGACAAGGTCCTCATCTGTAAAGTTTTTAACTCTTCATACAGAATGAGCAAAGCCTTTCCTGTGATGCTGAGAAAATATTTTGAATCCATCTTGTTTTAAAACAAAACCCCACATGCCAAAGCATACACCTAAGAACTCTCTCTTGACGATGATTTTAATCCCAAAGTCTTGAAGGTTTTCCCAGACTTGGAGCCTCTAGCCATTTCTTAGGATAGGAGTCTGTCTGTATGCTATTCCATTAAGGGATCTCGCAGAGTGCATACCTGCAGTCAGTCAGTAGGAAAGATTTCCGAGGAGAACTCAGCTCAGCCACGCTCGACAAGGATGCTGAGAAGACTCGAATGAAGCCAACTGTCTCCCGTTTTATGGGGGAAAGCCAAAAATACCAAGCAGCTTTTCTCCTCCCCCAGCGTCAGAAGGTGAGTCAGAGCTGGAGGCAGGAGTGGGGCCCATGTGTCAAGCCGCCTGTGCGGGGCTCCTTCCTCCCTCCTCCTGGGAATTCTCGGCCCTCATCTGACCTGATGTGAATTCTTAAGGTGTCTCTGACAAGGAAGACGTGGTTACTCATTCGGGGGGAGCCTCATTCCTCTGTTCCTCAAAGCAACCGAGACTAAGAGCCCTTTATGAGTCCACAAAAGACAATGGCAAAATTGCAGCCCTAAACACACGCAACTTTGCAAAGAATACATACAGCACCTTTGTTCCCCCGTTTTTAAAGAGCAAGCAATTAGAAAAAAAAAAGTTGCATCTTCTCCAAGGGACACTTAGATTTGTGGCGTAAGCCTGCAGCTGCAGACCACTAACCCTGGCCTCTCTGACCTTTCATTGACCTCAGGGAGGATGTCCCGGTATCCCATTAAACTTCGAAGTGGCTACTTAGGAGCAAGAATTGCAGGAAACTGAGTTAAAACTCTTGGACCACATTTCGTTAAAGTCAGTTAAGAATCAGAATCTTTGCCTCTGTTTTTACATCTGCAAAACGGGAAAGCACAGCTCTGCCACCTACCTCTTAGAAACCCCACAGAAAACTAACCAGCGAATATAAGCCAAATGCCGTAGGGCTCTCCTGAGTGGAAAGTACAAGGTGTTGTTTTTAGTGTCCCTAGACAGTGAGACTACTGGTAAACCACCCCGCCTCCCCTTGCCTCCAAAATGCCCAGTTACCACAACATTAGCCGGTGCCACTGGCAACATCCAGTTCAACACAAAGTAGTTATACAATCCTCGTAAGGCAGCTACACCACTCGGCTCCCTCCCCTACCCCAAGCTCAGCACAGTTCAACTTCGCTCCCGAGCAAGGAGACTTGGGAGAAATAAGAGCCATACGTGAGCGCTGCACACCAATCTACCACGGCGGAGAGACGCTCAAGTTGAGTACTTGGCATCGCAGAAAGCCAAGTGTTTCCAGGGGCAGGCGGCGCCGGTCGCGGGTGCATGCTGACGCCGGCCAGTTGAGGTCCGGGAGCCCCAGCCTCACCCACCCTGAGCCCCGAGGCCGCCGGGCATCCGCACAAAGTTTGCAGAGCCCAGGGTCGCGCGGACGCGGCTCCCTCGGGCGTCCCCCCCCCCCCCCCCCCCCGTACCAAGCGTCCCGGCTGCGGTGGACACTCTCGGGTCCGTCCTGCTACGCGGCTCGCGGCTTCTGGCCGCCGGCCTCGCGCGCCTCCCGCTCCCGGCGCGCCGCCGCCCTCTTCCGAGCGCGGGCCCGCGGCGGGGACGCGCGTGGGCTCCCGGCGCTGCGCGTGCGCGCTGCGTCGCGGGCGGGGCGTCCCGGTCCCGGTGCCTGCTTACCTGGAGGCGCTCGCAGACCCCCGCCGCGGCTTTGTCCTCCAGCCCGGCTTCTGGGCTTGGCGTTCGAGGGTTCTGTCCAGCTGCAGAGAGGTAACTGCGGGAAAACGCCGGGTAAAAGGTGTGAGCGTCTCAGTCAGTGACTAATCACCACCTCTCAGCCACCCCCCCCCCTCCCCTGCGCGAGACAGCCAGCCCGGGTGCGGACCCAAGGGTGAGGGCAAACTCACTCTTTGTTGTTTGTTTGTTGAGACCGGGTCTCACTATGTAGACTAGGCTCGAACTCACAGAGATCCTCCTGCCTCTGCCTCCCGAGTGCTGAAATTAAAGGTGTGCGCCAGCATGCCCCTAACTCACTCTTCGGTCAACTGCTGGGTGAATTTTGATGGACAGGTGCGGGCAGTTTGCAGTAACTGGGAAACTCCAAAGGAGGTAAAGACACCCCCCCCCCCCCAAAATCACAGACACCACACCGACACACTGACAGTGCCCACCCATGCTCCTAGGTACTGTCAGGGCTGACACATGGATCCCTTGAGATTTATTTGCTTATTCTGGAGGGTCTCTGTCTCTCTGTCTCTGTCTCTGTCTCTCTCCTTTCTTTTAGGTCTTCCCACCTGTAATGAGTAGATGCATACTGCCTTTCTTTAGTGCTCCCTGCTCTCCCCTCCGCCAGCGGAACTGAACAGGGACACAGGGGAGGTAGGGAAGACTTCCTCCAGCCTCTGCAGTGAGTCAGACTCCAGGAGAACTGACTTGGTGCCCGGTCCTGAGCCATGTCCTCATTGTAGCAAATAGTTGGCATCAGAACTGCAGAAGCCAAACTAGTAGTCATGGATATGGGGGAAGGGGACAGAGGAGGAGCACACTGCACTTGGAGTTTACAGCTTATGACATCCTCAAGGAAAAGCTTGGGAGTTTTTTTTTCTTTCGTTCTTTGTTTTGTTTTTTTTTTAATGAGATACCAAATCACCATTGGCCAACCAGATTTAGAGTCATTTTGTGGGTACTAGAATATCTAGAAGTTTTGTCTGCTTCCCAGACGAAACTATAACACCAAAGGCATTTTAGTGATAATCCAGGGAGAGCTGAAACAGCCTCGGCTGAAGAAATTTGATGCCGTAAAAAGCATCAGCTCTTTAAAATTAGTCAAAATTAACCTCTTAATATAAGAACAAAAGTAGACTAAGATTAGGCTAACGCACTGAGTTCAAACTATGCTTGGGGATCTTTCTGACACTATATTCCAGCACTTTGCCTAATGACTTTTTTTTTTGACATGTCAGTGTAAAAATAGCAAAGTCTCTCATAGAAGTGATTGTATGCTGCTTTCATTTGTGCATGTCCCTCTAAAGCAATGCTTCTCAACCTTGCTAATGCTGTGACCGTTGAATACAGATCTTCTTGTTGTGGTGACCCCCAACCATAAAATTATTTTCGTTGGTACTTCATAACTGTAATTTTGCTACTGTTATGAATCGTAATGTAAATACCTGATATGCAGAATATCTGAACTGTGACCCCTGTGAAAGGTCATTCGACCCCCTCCCCCAAGGGCCATGAGCCACAGGTTGAGATGCTCCCCTCCACAGCCCTCCAGTCAGTTCATGACTCAGCAGCAGCAGACACATTCCTCTTTAAGTTCCAGCCAGTTTTGTTTGTTGGGTTTGTTTTTGCTGTCGTAATTATTTGCGTGTGTGAGTAAGCTCTAGGTGGTGACAGGGAGCAGGGCATTTTCTGTGGAAATGGGATATAAGCCTTCCAGGAAAAGTCATGCCCTAACCCAAGAGGAGGGAGGCAAGCACCTGTGAATAGAGGGCCTTCTTTGTGTAGTGAGTGTGTGGTGTCCTCTAGAGTTTAGAAAGAATCGCTGTAATACCATCTCAGTAGAACAGGAGTCCCAAGATCTTCTAGTGGCTACTAAACCCTTGATAGACAGCCTGTGTGACCAAGGAACCCTTGACAGACAAGCCTGTGTTACCAAGGAACTATTTTTTTTGGGGGGGTGGGGGGTTTGAGACAGGATTTCTCTGTGAAACAGTCCCGACTGTCCTGGAACTCACTCTGTAGACCAGGCTGGCCTCAAACTCAGAGATCCACCTGCCTCTGAGGTGTGCCCCACCACTGCCTGGCTTAATGTTAGTCCCTTTTAATCAATGTAAATTTATTTATTTAGAGCACTGATGATTGAACCTAAGGTCCTTGTGTATGGCAGGCAAGCACTGTACCAACTGAACTTTCTCTCCCAGCCTGGTAACTTCACATTTATTTAATCTGTATGAGTATTTTGCCTACATGTTCGTCTGTGCACCACATGGGCCTGGTGCCTGCAGGGGACCTAGACAAGGGTAGTCGATTCCCTAGAACTGGAGTTACAGATGTTTGTGAGACACCATATGGGTGCTGGATGTTGAACCCAGGTCCTCTTGAGAAACAGTGCTCTTAGCTGCCTTCTCTCCAGTCCCAAAAGAACAGATCCATCTGCCTCTGCCTTCCCATAAGATTTACGGCCTATGCCATAAAGCCTGGGTCACTTCAAATTTAAATAGTAACCTGTAGCAAATGGATTGGCACTTTCTAGACTATAAATATGTGTTTATTGATGTCAATTACTTTAGGAGCCATCTGCTACAAAAGTACAGGTTGTAGGTGCCCAACCAAGGTCTGGGTCCTCCTGGCCATAGCCGCCTAAGTGGTACTTTGGAGCAGTGCAGTGTCTTCAGAGTGAGATCTGGCTAGACACAGAGCAGAGGCTGACAACTTTGCTCTGATTCCACGCCAAGGTCTTCCCTCCCCCAAACATTCTTAGTTGCTTGGGCAGTGGCTTCTCTTTAGATTGATTTCTATGTGTCTCTTAAAAAGAATGTTTGCCGTGCTGGAGAAATGGCTCAGCAGTTAAGTTGCCGGGCGGTGGTGGCGCACGCCTTTAATCCCAGCACTCGGGAGGCAGAGCCAGGAGGATCTCTGTGAGTTCGAGGCCAGTCTGGTCTACAGAGCGAGATCCAGGACAAGTACCAAAACTACACAGAGAAACCCTGTCTCGAAACCGCCCCCCTCACCCCCCCAAAAAAAGGAATAAGTACTGTTCTCCTAAAGGATCCTACTTTGATCCCAGCATCTACGTTGGGTGGCTTACACCTGCCTGCAATTCCAGCTGCATGGGAGTCCACGCCCTATTTCAGTGCCTTCTCCCAATGTCTCAAGCACCTAAACACCCACGTGCTCGAGCACACGCACACTAATTTTTTAATTAAAAAAGAATGCTTACATCTTCTATGGCCTTGCCTCTGGTTGACAAATTGGCACAGCTTTGATGTCATCTGTGAGACAGAGACCGCAATGATCAGGGCTCTCAGTCTACAAAGTTTGATTTGAGGGTGCCATGAGGTCTCGTGCCTCACAGGTGTCTCAAAGGCTGCTTGTCGGCAACTATGATCACAGATTATATGGCACTGATTACTGAAAAGATGCAGATCCCCTTTGCTAAGCCATGGCCTTTGGCAAGTTTCAAAAGGACAGTGATGACCAGGTATCTGGGAAAGAAGTCTAGTGAATGTAGAAAAAATGAGAGAATTACCAGGGCCAAAGTCTCAAGACACATTTCCCCTAGACAGAAGCTTGCCTAAGGCTTGTGGTACACCATAAGATGTAAGACAGCAACTATACATACCTATCATAGAGATTAAATAGGTTTTATTACATATAAAAGGGCTTTGAGTTTTATTGTCTCCAAAATCAATTTTTCTAGTAATAAAGGAACATTACATTACCCAAGATAAAAAGGAAAATAGGAAGGAGTATTATCAACCATCATTAGTTAACAACACAATGATTAGTATGTGGATGTCTTTATCTTTTTTTTCTTTCTTTCTTTTTTGGTTTTTCTTGAGACAGATCTCACTATGTAGCCCAGGCTGTCCTGGAACTCACAGAGATTCTCCTGCCTCTGCCTCTCAAGTGCTGGGTTTAAATGCATGCCTCACCACACTCAGCAAACTAATCTGTGAATCTGGGACTTGAACCCAGGATCCTCAGCTCCACAGGCCTTATCCATTAGGCCACTGACTCACTACGCCTTTTCCTATTTGAGATTTTTCTGTTATTTTACAGTTACAATCCTGCTATACACCATTGTATAACTTTCAAGCTTCTTGTGGGCAGTATGAGGGACGTTACAACTTACCTAGAAAAACTAGGTAATTTAAAATCTGTCCCGACTCACTGGCCTCAATCCAATGCTAGAGCTGTAGTGATAATGCAAGATTCCAAAATAAACAGCATCCTTGAAAAAACATCACATTTGCTTCAGTATCTCCATCTTTCAGATCTCAGTGTACCCTGTGTG